AGTGACGGACCGTTTGGCCCAAATACGTTGCGGAACAGCAACGACACGTGAAAGAATACACAACACAAGATCTTAAAGCCTTAGGAATTTTGTCCTTAAAGGTGAAGAGTTGAGACAAACGTAAGGTTGGACGAAAAACGAATCTAATATTAAATTCACCATGAGTGAAGTTGAATCTAGTTCCACACTTCTCTTTCTTGACATCAGCGTTTCTCGTAAGAATGGTGTTTTCGAAATTTCCGTCTATCGAAAGTCTACCTTCACAGGTCTGTTTACCAACTTCCGTAGCTTTATTCCTTTTCAATATAAACGTAGCTTAGTTTCTTCTCTTATACATCGTTTCTTTGGTCTTTGCTCCAATTATGAGAACTTTTACGCTCAGTTAGAACTATACCGCCAGATTCTTAATAAGAATTGTTATCCAACTCGTCTTTTTGATCGCTGCGTACGAACATTTTTAGAAAATGTGTCTCAATCCAAACCAGCTGTTCATTCTGCTCCTAAGAAAGTCCTATATTTCTCCCTTCCATATACTGGCGCTCACTCTCTTCAAATTCGCACCCAAATCTCCCGTCTTTTTTCCTCAGCCTTTCCTCACCTTAATATTAGATTCGTTTTTCGTCCAACCTTACGTTTGTCTCAACTCTTCACCTTTAAGGACAAAATTCCTAAGGCTTTAAGATCTTGTGTTGTGTATTCTTTCACGTGTCGTTGCTGTTCCGCAACGTATTTGGGCCAAACGGTCCGTCACTTGCACACACGAGTATCTGAACACTTAATTGGGTGTTTCTCCTGTGAAGAGGCAGTAAAAGCAGCAATCCGACCATGTCTAGTATCTTTCCCATCTTGATAGCACTGGTCACTCCGCTTCTCTTAATGACTTTAAGATTATTTCTTGTTGCTTTTCTCCAGACGAACTCCTCATTCGAAAAAGTCTTCTCATTAACCAATTCAAACCCTCTCTCAACTTACAAGGCAGTTCGGTCCCTCTACTTCTACTCTGATCCAATCCTCTTTCTACTTTTGTAATATAGTATCTTGTAAATACTTGTAATTTATTCATATTTCTGTGTTTTCCGTTTTGTATGTCATTGCTCTGAAGATGTCTTAAGTTAAAGACGAAACGTTAGCTTTCTAATAAATATTTTAAAACTATATTTTTGTTATGGCTCTTCTGGGCAGTAATATTTATCTTAAGAGTATTAACTAATTCTTTGAGCAATAGACACTGATTAATGTAAACCTATAGATGTGTTCAAGTTTTGCTTATTTGCCGATGATACTAACTTAATATACGCTGACAAAAAGTTAAAATCACTTGAGACAGTTGTTAATAGAGAATTGCTCAGCGTTTGTGAATGGTTATCGGCAAACAAATTATCACTGAATGCTAAAAAAATCAAATTTTGTTGTCTTCCATCCTTCTAATAAGAAACTTGATTATCAAGTCGATATTAAAATGCTTGATAGCAGTTCAAATGAACTAATTTCCATTGAACATAAAGAGTATGTAAAATATTTAGGAGTCTTAATTGACGAGAATCTCACTTGAAATACCACATAGATAACATTGCTTCAAAAATACGTAAGGCAATTGGCGTAATTTCACGAATGAGACACGTTGTTCCTTCCTCTACTCTCCACAATATATATCGTTCTCTTATTTTACCCTATATCACATATGGAATAATCGTTTGGGGGCAAGCTACCCAAGCGAATCAGAACAAGATACTTCGACTTCAAAAGCGTGCTTTGCGTTTGATATATTTCAAAAGAAAGCGTGAGCATGCCACCCCTCTTTTTATTAGTTCAAAAGTTTTGCCACTAAATATGCTTTATTACAGCGCAGTTTCCAAGCTAATGTATGATATCTGGAACAATACCACCCCAAGTACAATCTCTAGTCTTTTTACTAATTCAAAGGAAGTACACACACATAACACTAGACATTCTGTATCTTATAACTTTTATATAAAATACTCACGACTGAATAAAAAACCTTATCCTTTGCTAAACTAGGAGCAAAAATATGGAATAGTATTTGGCCTGAGATACATAAACTAGGAAAAAACACTTTTAACAAAATAATTAAAAAGTCACTTTTAAATATATTGGAGACTGAGGATGATTATGTTGATAGACCTACGACAATTAAATTAATGACCAAACAATTGGCATCCACAAAAATATAATAACACATATTTATGTATACAGTATGTAGTTATATAACTAGTATGTACTTATTCTAAAGCAAGACTCGTTTCATATAATCTATGAATGAATAGGTTTTGCAATATTTCGAAATAATGGTTTGCAATATTCTAGTGTATGGCATGCTTCGCAAACATGCATGTTGTACACTGGAAATAAGATCTATATTCATCTTTTGACTATGCTCTACCAATTCACAAAATTATTTCTTCTACGCTATCCGCCTCGATTAGCATTTGCTATTTGCGGATTAAGTGTACAGTTTTATTGTATTATAGTGAATAATTAATAAATGATTGATTGATCAACTTGGAGGCCAGAACGACGCCATCATCGTTCGAACTTGCGTCTCTTGGATTTTTGCACTGCAACATCCTCATTGTACCAAGGAGCTGCCGGTCGTTGGATGACGGTTTTAGCCAATAGTGGTGCATGATCATCAAGGATTGAAGATAAAACCTTGTCATATTGGTCACAAAGTTCCGCAAGAACAGGTTGAGGCGATAGGTATAGCGACGAGTTGATTATGTCATTGCGCAGCTCTTCTGTGTTAATTGATCCAATTTTCCTGCATGTTACAATTTTCTTAATTTTAGTAGGTTTAGCCAAATTCAAGTTACAATGTAAAACAAAGTGATCTGAAAGGCATGTAGTAAAACACTGACTACCGGAACACCACCGGAACACCGGAACACCACCATTTTGTTTGGGGTTAGGGTTTGGGGTTAGGGTTAGGATTGGGGGTTGGGGTTGGGGTTAGGGTAAGGATTGGGGGTTAGGGTTGGGGTTAGGGTTAGGTGGTGTTCCGATGGTGTTCCGGCGGTGTTCCGGCGGTGTTCCGGCGGTGTTCCGGTGTTCCGGTAGTCAGTGTTTTACTACATGCCGATCTGAAATGACAGGATCATTGACAGATAAATTGCAGACAGTCTCTTCATCTGATCTGGTGATAATGAGATCCAAAGTGTTCATGCATAGTACTATTTTTATGTGTTGGTGTGCTAATGTGCTGTATAAGATTGAACGAATTAAGAGCAGTTGCATCACACGTATCGTTAACATGGATATTAAAGTCCCCCAGCGTTATGAGCAATTTACCAGAAGAAGATACCAGCAACTCCAGAAGAGATGAAAATTCATAAAAAAACAAGTTAACTGTAAAACCATTAATTAGTTGATGATGGGGAAGGACGGTAGATTACCACAATACGTGTAGTCACGGAGTTCTCATGAAGCAGTAATTGCATCAGCTCAAATGATTTAAATGATTTTGTCTTAAGTTTTTTAACTTTTAAGGGGTGCTTAATAAATATAATGCCAACTCCCCCACAAGAGCCAAATTCCCTTGGAACATGGGAAAATACGTAACCTGAAGGACAAACATCACGCGTTGCAAATTCACAATTCTCATGACCTTTAAGCCAAGTTGCTGTGAGAGCCATAATATCTATATCATTATCCACAATGTAATCTTTAATTTGTAGTGTTTTGTTCTTTATTGATCTAGCATTGAGGACAGCAAGTTGAAGCAATTTTAAACCAGCTTGTTTGTAAAATGAGTTGGTGTTTGCTGAACTGGAATTAAATGATTCAAATTGCGATTCTTGTTCACTGACCTGTATCTTGCATGATAATGCTATAATGGCGTTTCGCTGTATAAAATCCATTTGAGACGATAGCCTGCAGGGACGTCGCGAAGCCATCAACATTGAGGGGGGGAGGGGGGCGTCGTCATGTTTTGACCAACATTTCCTAGGATTTTGACCAAGTCGTACAATTTTTTCCCGAAGATGTTGTTGACGGGGAGAGGGGGGGGAGGGGGGGGCGGATGAGTAGGTAAAAAAATTTCCGGACTAACATAAGCAAAATGAAAAAAATTTTCCGGACTACATGGCATACTCCAAAAAGTTTTTACGGACTAACATAAGCATATTCAAAATTTTTCGACCAAGATAAGCAAGGCTTCCACTAATTTTTAATGGAAACATAACAAAAGCTTTAAAATTGTTAAAATTGCGAACCATTTCATAATTTTGACCTACTCAACCATCTTTTATCCCAAACTTTTACCAAATTTTCCCGAGTTTTTCCTTCAATTTTAAGCAAATATCAGTTTCATTCTGACCAACTTTGGGCAAATATCAGTTCCATTTTGACCAACCTTGACCAACGGTTTGAATTATTGGGGGGGGGGTGTTACACCCCCCCACACACACACGCACCCCTATAGCGACGTCCCTGATAGCTTCAATGTTATAACAGCCATTTTCACCTGATCGAAAGTTGTCAATGCCGACACTATATGTAAGGCTTGATATAGAACCAGTTATTGTTTTATTTAACTGATCTTTGTTCCAACATCTCATTGGTAACGATCGACTGCTCTGCAGTATGAAAATTCCGATTAGTTAGTGTTCTTGTCTGCTGAGAAAGATTTTCCATTCCCCTTGTTGGTCGTGGATTTAAAGCAATATCCTGATAATATCCAACGGTGGATCATGTGCCGGTATATGCGACGATATTAAGCCATGTTTACAGTATTTATTCACCACTTGCCTTGATTTAAAATATCCATTCGAGGCCAGTGTTATTCGGCATCTTTTACATAACTTGATAACGACTGTATGTCCAGATTCCAGATCATACTGGCTTCGCTTAGTAGAATTCAACAGTGAAGCTTGTAAAGTAATCGTAGATTTTCTAATTGATCAGCTACTTTACAGAAATGAGAAATACGAAATACGACAGAAATAATACAAAATTTATTGAGCAACCCACCAACGTACTGGCGACCATACTCGACTCGTTACCATACTCGACTCGACTATGAAAACCAATTGTTCATACGCCGAGTAATTCACGTATAATAGAGAGGTTAAGATACCCTGGTTCCGGTTTACGGGTATGGGTGATATACACGAATCCGTACCCGTAAATCGGAGAAAGACTTGTAACTTAAGAAATCCAAGATACTCCGGCGTGCGAAAACCGATCAGAGAATGATAACTTTCGCTGTTGAGGTTCGCATAAATTGTTGACTAAACTTTGACGAGCATATGTGCATTATTTATTTGGGTAAGATGTTGAAAATTTTTACTATTTAAACGGCCCACATATAGTAAACAGAAAACACCCGTACCCGTTTGTCTTTTACGTGTAGACCTTGGTTTACCGCGGGGAAACGGGTAGAAATTACGGGTAAAAATGCTGACATCAGCAAAAATTGGTAAACAAAATGGCGATACTCGTACCCGTAAATCGGACCGGGGTATCTTAACCTCTCTAATAGCGCGCTGAAGTTCGATTACCTTTTTTTGATACACCCTGTATACATAAACATTGGACATATATCCGGTAAAAATCATTGATCATCGGCCAACCAGCGTATTATCCGATCCTTGTTTGTGTTATCCAGTTATTATTATTATTACTAGAAAATACATGCATGCAGAAACCCTCGCCTTGCTGACAAAAACATTGCGGTATTTTCCGAACATGAAGTGTCTAAAGTAGTTGTCATGGTAACACGATAATTTTTTAAGAATATTCTTACAAATGAAAAATCGCCTAAAAATATCACTTTTAATTACAAAATTATCAATTTCTCAACATATATATGCTAGGTATGATATTATATGTAATATAAGCTTCAATTTAAGGTAAAATTCAACCACAAACGCTTCGCAAAACGTTTTAAAGTGTTCTTTTTAAAACTAAACTGCCTTTAATTAAATGGCTTTATCGATAAACTTTGAGTTTGCAATAAAATGATTTCAAATTCTTGTTTGCAAATAACTTTGCTTTCTTTTTTATTTAAAAAATTTAATATCATAAAAAAGGGAATCAATATTAAAGATGAAATTATATCATTGCTGTCTTGTTTCATATACGCAAAGCCGGCAAAAGCCGTCGAGTTTTAAACCATTATTAAATTAATATTTAAAACAAACATACCTTCGTTAACGTCGGCTCCCTTCTTTTAGCCGATTCTTTCGCAGTTTCTTTACGAGGGAGCTTTTGAAATTTACAAAATCTTGCAAAAATGCGAGCAAAAATGAAATATATTTGCAAGAAATTTATCAATCATCAAATCATGAAATATTTGCTATTTCGCTGTCGTCATGAAGTCAAATTGGACCAATCAGTGTCCGCAATTCATGACAGTCCGCCATATTTTTAAGATCAGTGAGGATGACCACCCACCGAAACATCGTTGGTGAGCCACGCCCGCGATATTTGATGAACTTTAGACTTCGCTAATGCTTTCGTTTCCCCGGGTGTAAATAGCCGGGGGGAATTAGTACCCCGACGGCACGCCGTCGGCTCGGGGATTATTATTGATGAATATTTTAACAGGATAAAAACGTCAGTTATTTAAAAATTAAATAATTAATTACAAAAACTGCTATCAATGTTTGTCCTGTAAAGTCTCAAGAATAACAAAAATAAGTAGCCAAAAAGTTAATAAACAAAGCCTAAAAATTACATAATTATATAAGAATGGACAAATAGGATAAAATATCTTACAAATATAAAATTAAAATGTCTTGAAAGATAAACTATTTCAAAATCATAGATCTTCGTGTTGTTGCTGGTAATGAATTAAACAGTTTTGCTCCACCGAAGTAGAAGCTCTGATTAGCTAATTCCAGCTTAATTCGTGGCAGTTTAATAGAAATGCTGTTGTTTCTCGTTTCTTTCTCATGATTAACCGTTTGAAAATAATTGTCGAGTGTATCATGTTCAAAGTTTTTTAGTTGTTTCTACCATAGAACAAATTTGCGATTGCACCAGTTCTTTGGTAGTCGGTATAGATACGGTGCCAATCACCTTGCACGCGCGTCTCTCAAACGATGTAAACTTTGCTAGATGAGAGTCAGTAAAAATTGTTTTGATGGTACTACTATAGGTTAGAATTGGTAGTATCATCATATTGTACATATCAATAGCTGACGACCGCTTGTTCTCTTGTATGATCGGTTGAAATTTTCATTCAATGACATATGGTTATCTATCACATTTCCAAGATACATATATTCAGTCACGAAGTTTATCACGGTGTTTGTTATACGTTATATTTAGATTTTTCCACTTTTTCTAAGCCTTTGCGACGTTCCAAAAAGCATTACCCCCTTTTGCCCTTCTTCAGTTTCAAGAGGAGTTGGTTATAATAACAATAATCTCTAATCAGATTCATATCTTAGTTTAAAGCGTCCTCAATATTTTGCGCATCTTTATCAGCATAATTATAGAATTACCCTATCATCCGCATACTTAATGATTTCAGAATTCTTGACTGATTCTTTGAGTTCATTGAAAAACACTATAAACATTAAAGGACCCAAGATGGATCCTTGTGGCACTCCAGCGGTAATAGTGCTTGGCCTGGAGCAGTTGTTTTGCATTTCAACAAACTGAGTTCTATTGAATAGGTAATCTGTAAACCAAGCAAGTTCAGGGCCTTCAACACCATACGCATGGTAACTTGTCCAAGAGAATACCATGACCGATAGTGTCGAACACCTTGGACAGGTTCAAATATACCAATGAGTTTTCCGTTGTCCATTTCTTTTCGTATTTTATCGCAAAACAATGTGGCGGCCAGCTTTGTAGATCTGTTTCTACGAAAACCAAATTGGCAATCGTTCAACAGTTTGTTATTCTCCAAGAAGTTGTAAAATTGACGGTGGACTGCCTTTTCCAGAATCTTAGAAATTATCGGAAGTATCGATATTGGTCGAAAGTTCTCTACTAGGTCTGAGTCACCAGATTTGAATATAGCTTCACTTTGGCTAATTTACACAAAGCTGGCACCGTACTTGACTTGATTGATTCATCTCATATTCGGCAGAAAAGAACCGCAGAGTTGAAATCTTGATGGTCAAATCCGAAAATAGTCTATATCGAAAATTCCAAGATGTTTGGACATTCAGTGCGCGATTTAGGGCGTTTGAATAGAATTTGTCGCTGCAAATTCAAAACGCCGTAACTCGAACCCTATAGTATGTCCAAAGACCAAATATTGTGTAATTTTTGATATAGACTAATTTTGGCATGAAGAGTTCAATTCTGAGGTCCATTTTTGGTAAAGACTTGTAGACTGTTATGTCACACTGTTACGTTATGCTGCGGAGCCATTTTTGGATTGGGAGGCTGGTGAAAACCGAAGGCGAGAATTTACTAGGGGAAATTTTGAAAGTCTGAGACCTCCCAGAGCCCCGGAAATGCAATCCAATTTACTATAGTTTCTGTTAAAAAGTTTCTTGAAGTGACTCATCTGTGACCCATCTGTTACTCTGTCACTGGTTACTCCGAACAGCTACTGTGTCAGCTTTCTCGTCAATCCGGATGATCTCCGTAGGTCTTATTCAAGGCACGTTTGCCAACACTGCTGCAAATAGCTTTCCTCTTTCGTTAGGCAACTGGATCTGAAATGGTGGAGTTGAGGGCCAGGATTGTTGTCACTTGTGCTGTTTGTGATGTCATTGAAGACAATGGTGTCTTCATTTTCTTCTCCTTCAAACACCCTTTCCTTTATAAATGAGGAAGTCTCTGATGCACTGTAGATAAGCTGGCAATTTTCTCGGATGTCTTCTGATCAATTCAATAGAATTGAGTGCAGGTATGACTAGTTGTTGTATCGGAGAATGCGTGATGGCATCGTAGATTTTCTGCGGCGTATGGAATCTTCTGCATTTCAACAATAGTATTGATAATAGCTTGTGGCTTTTTGGATAGGGCGTTCTGTTGTGAGAGGTGACCAGCTGTTTTTTCCAATGCATTTTGGTAATCTGCTATCCATCCTTAAATATTCTTGTTGTAGTTCCTGCTTTATTAGGTTCTCGTGTGGCTTTGCCTTCTGCTTTTTTGAATTTTTCAGCGCTATCTTATCACTTTGTCTGGCTTGGAGCTCTCTCTCTTGTGCAGTGTTGGAGCTCTCTCGATATCGACTTATTTGCCCGATTAACAAACAACTTCCCCGTTTGTGAGTTGGCAACCCCGAGGCAGAAGCTTGCAATACCTGGGCTCTGGATTGCCACTCCCTACAAGGATATGCGTTCCCTCCAATTTCACTAGTGGGAAGGCTTTTGAAACAAGGAGTAGACCAGAATGACCAAACTCTAGTGTTAAATGCCCCAGTTTGGAAAAACTGAATTCGAACTACTTGTGGCAACCCCTCAACGTCTACCACACTTACTGGGACAGTTGTCGAGACAAGCAGAGATATTCACCCTCCAACGAATTTCCAATTAGCAGGTTGGCTTGTATAAGTCAATCCTATTCAACAGCAGGAATATCGGAGACAGCTCAAGACTTGCTCCTTGCAACGTGGCGGAAAAGTACTACAAGTACTTATGCTTCAGCCTGGCAAAAATGTGTCAGCTGGTGTGGTAAATTCAAAATTCATCCCATTCACGCAGATATCGCAGCCGTTTTAGATTTCTTGACTGCCGAGTTTCAGTTGGGGAAGGCATGCAGGATATTGAATGTTTATCGTTCTGCAATATCAATGATGCATCCGATAATCGATGGGGTTCGGGTAGGAGAACATCCCCTGGTCACCCAATTATTAAAATGGTCTTTAACTCGAGACCTCTCCTACCGCGACATTCGTCAACATGGGATATACAAATTGTACTAAATTATATACTGGGAATTATATACAGTAATATTGTTAGCATCGACAGAGAGAGTATCAGAAATAGTTGCACATGATATTCGTCTTTTTGATTTACCAACCTTTCTCAAGAAATCAGGTTTTACAAATTTTTGTAAAAGATTCTTTCATGCTAGTTTTCCGGACAATTCGAATCTTTGTGTTGTATGTTGTCTGCGTGAGGCCCGCACAAGGTGTTTACGCACTCCATGTCAAACAAATTATTATTATCATATATTCGTCCGCATAAATACATCTCAACAGACATCTTGAGTCGCTGGGGTGTCGACTGAGTTTTTGAAGAATTCCGGGGTCGATACCAACATTTTTAAAGTTCATTCAACTCGCAGTATTATTGGTTCAGCAGCTATGAATGCTGGTTGTTCCCTTAAGGATAATTTGGTCCAATGACTCTACATTTAAGCGGTTTTATAACAGACCTGTTTGTGCAAATTGTTCTTTCTAAATCCTCGGTAAATAATTCACGAGTAGCTTTGAACATTGTTATACCAAGGCGACGTTTCCGAAATATAATTTTAGATTATGCGAGGGCCGCTTGCGGCCTGATGTATAAAATATGAATTATATCAAGAATAAGGAGACGAGATATGACAAGGTTCTCTCAGGGCTGTAACTACTGGGGGTGGTGGTGGTGGGGGAGGGGTGTAACACCCTCCTAAAGAAAATTCAAATAAGGGGACCCAATTTCCTTCAAATAAGGGGGCCCGGAATGCTGGAATTGCGGAACGTGTTGAATATTATTAAGGAATACTGTGAAAAACTTTCAAAAGCTTTCAAAAACGTATTTTAACATTATGGTCAGGAATATATTTTTGGGACGTGTTATTTTTGCGACGTCAAAGACGACGTGAAAATGGCGAGGTATATCCATAGATGGGCACAACACGCCATAGTCCTCGATCACAGCACAGTCCTCGGCACAGTCCACGTCCTCGATCTGAATCTGTCCATTATACATGAGGCCGCAACGGCTCTCGCGTAATCTGAAGTTATTAGACAGATTTAGATCGAGGACGCGGTCGTCAAAGGCGACGTGAAAATGGCGTGTTGTGCCCATCTATGGATATGCCACACCATTTTGACGTCATTTTCACGTCGTCTTTGACGTCCGCGTCCTCGATCTGAATCTCTCTATTATACACGAGGCGCAACGGCCCTCGCGTAATTTAGATCGAGGATGCCGACGTCAAAAGCGACGTGAAAATGACGTCAAAATGACGTGGCATATCCATAGATGGGCATAACACGCCATTTTCACGTCGTCTTTGACGTCCCGCGTCCTCGATCTAAATCTGTCTATTGGGTAACAATGCACGCGCATTGGCCAATCGAATTGTTTGTTATATCCCACTTATATTATAAATTGTTTATATTGTGGTGGCTTTTATAATAGTCTGATAACTCAATCACATAAGATGCACGTTGCTTTGTTGTTTTAAACCCAAGAATTAACTGCAAGATATGTAGGTATGGTATAACCGCGTGACATCGAACTCGTGGACATCATCTATAACATAGCTTTATTGGGCCAAATGAAGAACTTTACAAATTTAGGACAAACACAACAACATACAACATACACAGAAGAATATATCCGAATGGAAGAGGTGCGAATGTGTGTTATAGATTACAGTATATATTAAGGCGAATATATAGTTTTGGTCGTAAACAAGGTTTCAAGAAAGTGAAATTCAAATACATAAAAATTTAATAAAGTTTAAAAGAGTTCTTATTTCGTCGAAAACAACCACATAGTTGTTTATAAGTAACGTCTTTCAGCGGCATCTACTGAGGGTCCTGAAGGGGGGGGGGTCGTATTCCCATTTCTCAGCCCAAATTTTGACTAATTCCCATTGTCCCAGAGCACAAATCCCATCATCTCAGTGGCTGTTCTGCTCAAATCTTAACCCCATTCCCATTTTCTATTGTTTTTTTGCTGATGAATCCCAGTCCCAGTGCATAAAATCCCATTTTCCCACCCAAAAATAAGCAAATCCCAGTTCCCATTTTACCCCTTCAGGACTCTCTCTCTACTATAATAATTGTAAATTGTTAATGAAAAACGTCCTGAGGTTGAAGTTTGTCTCCAATGGACTTTTCTTCAACTGCACACCAGTGGCTAACGAAGATAAACTGCAAACACTTCTGAGGCACCAACATCAGCTGAAACAACATTTGAAAATATTCAAGTCAAGACTGTGGGCTGGATTTCTTGTTCTTTTTTAGACTCGTCTTATTTGAGTCACGAACACACTCGTACTGTATATAAAATGGTCAATTTGTCCGTGACCAATATAAGTCGCGACCAAAATAAGAACGGGGGCCGGTTGTATAAAGCTCTTAATCACTTTCTTAATCACTATTTTGTAGTTAAATTATACTGATTAATTTAACGTTAACTCTCAAATACGCGCTTCTTATTGGATGACGTTTCCACTATAACTATAACTATAGTTAACTTTAATCACTTTTTAATTTTTAATTTTTATACAACCGACCCCAGGGATTCATGCTGGTCCAAAATAAGTCGCGGCTTAACAGAAATTGACAATTTTTGGAATGTTTTCGGGACTTACACAAGGCGCGACTTCATTAAATGGTGTCATATTTTCTCTCGTAGAAATGACCCTATGGTGGAAGGGTTTTGTAGATGGAAATTTCAATCAACAAACCCTCAACAATTAGTGCCATCAAGTAGGAGCCGAAAATTCTGATATTTTCTCATGCACATTTAGACTTGGATCAAACGTCGTGACCAACTCTTCACAAGCGCCGCTGGTCCGCAGCGAGAGTCAAAACTACGACAGGCGCTTGCAACAGGCACATGCTCTGACGATTGCGCCACCGAAACCCTATCAAATTCAAATATCTCTATAACTGCTTGTTTCCGAGTTTTCCGTAAAAATCTTCACGTGACGATGGAACGACCACATTTTTGCATGAGCGTACTGTACAACAAACAGAGATATTATTGACGAGTTATTTTTAACCTTCTCTATTCTATTGACCACTACTAATTGAGACCTGAGGTTCTCTGCCTTGGAATGGATCTTCGAATTATGAACGAGTCAAGTCATTTTATTTATGGTGATCATAACAAAGTGTTTCAATTAATGATAATCAAGATTTAAGATTTATTTAAGATTGCCAACAAGTAAACCCACCGTGAACATTCCAGGTAGCAGTAGTTCTCTTTTTACTATAGAGAAACGAAGTCACTCCATTTTTTGTTTCCCATTCACATGCCTGGGGAAAATTCCCAATGGTTAACCATCCACTATCCCCATGACAACCGCTATGATAGTGATTGATATAAAAATTACGACAGAAATCCGCAGAACATATACCAACCACGCTGAAAGAAATCTTAACTTTTTCATGAATATCTTGCCAAGGCGACGTTTGAAGATTTGCTTCTGCAAACCAGTTCATGTTGTTTGTATTTTGAGTATTGAACGTCAAGACCACGTCTTCTTTACCAGGAGAATACAGGACAATGCGAGCCTTAAACGAAGAATTGTCATGATGTGCCAGGGTTTCTTTCAACATACACACTGGCGAGGGCAATTTCCTTCCAGCCCCTGTGTCGGCCAGTAAACACGTAGAGGCTCAAAAATTCAAAACTTTGCGTCAGACTGGTGCGCTGAATATGCGAGTTCAAAACCCCACTCCCTTCAATTATATGTGGTGACAAAAGAATTTTTGGTTGTTCTCATGCATATACAATAGTGACTAGCTAACCTCATGTGACCTATAAAGGTGGTAGCTTTGTGAAAGAGTTGTGAAAGCGAGAAGAAAATTAGCTGGATACCACACACATTCAAAATGAAGTACATGCTCTTAATGTTGTAAAAAAGACCTGAATTTGCTAAAGCCAAGAGAAAACGACCGCTCCGAATAGACTATAATGGTCATACTGGCATGGAGATACTTATGAGAAAGGTAAATAGTTTGGCTAGGATGAATAGTTTGGCTAAGTTGAATAGTTTGGCCAGGTTGAATAGTTTGGCCGGGATGAATAGTTTGGCTAAGTGGATAGTTTGGTTATGATGAATAGTTTGGTTGGGATGTTTAGGATAAATTGGATGCACAGATAATACGAAAAGGAACTTATCGGTATTAAACCTAAGAGAAGAGAAGAGAATTAGGCCTATGGCTATGATTATGGTACTTCATTTGGTAAATTAGCCAACCATATTGGTTTATTTTGTTCACATGATAATATTGGATATACCTAGGACTGGATCAAAATTAATTCAGTTCTTGGACTGGATCGAAATTAATTAAATAGTAATTTTTTCGTATGAGATGTCATTTCAAATCCTCCAATTCGGACTGGACTAGATTTCAAGTCCTCGCATTTTGACCCACTCTTCGGCTTCGTCTCGGACGTGATCAAATTGCGCGGACGTAAAATCTAGTCCAGTCCTCATAGTCCGCATATTTGAAATATTACATATAAGCCGCGGCATAACTGAATTACAAAACAACAATTGTATCTGCATAATATAAACTATATATTCATCTCAGAATTTTTAAGAAGAACCCGTATATTTTATCTTTTACCTGTGTTGGACTAAAAGTGCTCCATTCTTGGACAATTCTATTTTTGTAATGATTTTTAAAACTGTTTGCAATATTCAAAGCTTCCAGTGAACTTTCGTTAAATGTAGACGGACTTTGCCAGATATCTGACATAACTCCAGGTACACCCGCAATGCCTTTGAATATTAGAGTCCAACCTGAGGAATATAAAGTTAATAATTAACAATTATTCGCCGAAGGCGAAGTGATTACCGGTGAATATTCACCGAGACGAAGTCGAGGTGAATATTCACCGTAATCACTGAGCCTGAGGCGAATAATTGTTTTAGTATAAATTTTTAATGAATAAAACAAAATATCCAAGTTATCCAACTATAAGTTTAATAATTAAAATTCAGAAATAAAACTGTTTTCGACCGGCTTACGGTTTAGTATTGCAGTGTTTCTTGTACACGCACGCTTTCAAAATGGCTTCCTGTGCGACTTTATTGCTTTATTACAAAGTTATTTTTCTCGATTTCTGCTTACAATATAAACACAATGATGGAATGACTTTTTTACCAGACTTAGAATTAAAAAATAGTTTCTGTTTAGCATTAATTTGTTCAGGAAATGGCTGAGAAATTTGGTAAAATGAAATGTAAAACTATATCGTTCGAATTAATATAAAAGTTTTAATACACTTTTCACTTTACAAGTTTTAAAACACAAATAGTACAATACAGCGAAAGGACACCATACAGCACAATGAAAACACGACATAGTCAAAAGAAATAGTATCGTACAAATTGAGATATTTATAGGATACAAAACAAAATTGTTTTAAAAAGAATATCACGGCTTTTCCCAAAAGTCGGGATATTTTTTGCTATTTCAGATTTACGTTTGAAGCGAATGTTTCGGAGTTTTATTAAAATAAGTTTTAAATTGTCCGTGAATATGTTTGACACAGTAATATAATACTAAATCCTACCTTTCAAGTTAAATACAACATTTTGTGCTTTTTTTCTTTTTCTGGGACGATTTTTTCAATATTTTGTCGATTTTGAAACCAAATTTGCCGAATCATTCTTTTTGAAAAGCATTATTTACTACCCAGGGGCCGGTTGTATAAAAACGTAGTTAGCGCTAACTGCAGTTAAGAAGTAGTTAAAAAGCCTTAAAAAATAGTTAACTTTAATCACGTAGTTAAGCCGGTTGTATAAAAGTGTAGTTAGCCTTAACTGCAGTTAAAAAGTAGTTAAAGTTAACTATGCTTTAGGGTATAGTTAAACTGTCCAAAACATAGTTAAAAATGGCGTTTGTATAGGAGTGAACAACATTTTTCAGTAAAACAATAATGAAAAGCAACGGTTACCTGCAGGGCGCTTATATAGAGGGCGGTGAAACGGCTATAGGCGCGCCGATCGATGTGTGATGCAATGAACTGGTAACGAGTTTGTTGTGGTTACTATGACGACGTTGTCTTATATGGCAAGGATAAATAATGCCTCAGATTTACTAGTCAACTAGCCAATCAGAACGCGCGAAAGCTCATTTGATATGCAAAATTTATACTAAAGCGCAATAACTTGCAGTACAAGAGGTTGGATCCCGCCCTAAAATATCAGGAAATTGTTTTTCGCTCATGCATTTTTCTATATTGAACGTGTTTCCTGTTTTCCGGCATGTTAGAAGTAATAATTTCAAGTCCGAGTTTACTTAGTGTTTTAGACGTGGTTTCTAAACACAAGAGCCATTGTTCATGGCACTGGGAATTTGGAAGCCAAGTTTAAAACACTAACGAGGATTTGAAATTGCTTCTCACACATCATTAGACTTTCATAGCAATGAGGCATGAAATTATTAGATATTCAAAACAATGAGCGTGGGGACATTAACAATTGCATTCGCTTGAAAGTTTGCATGTAGTGTAACGAAGCATTCAGTTCGCTTTCGTCATGAATAGATTAATTTTGTTGGCAAAGGAGCATGGCATCTTCTTATAATATAAGAATAAGCGGTTTCGAGAACCAGAAAGTGTTGCATGAGCACAGTATTGCAAATGTAAAGAAAGCCACACGCGATATCGCTGACAAATCTGTTTTGCTCAGACATCATTGCAATTGTGAGATATAGATAAAACTTTATTTAAACACGCTATAACCCCTTCAGCATTTGCTGATTTCCAAGAGGGGCGTGATGATAAAATATATACAATAGTTACACTTACATATTAAATTTTACAATTAATTGAATCATGGTTAAGGTGGCTCCCTAGGGTTTTATTTCCGGGGGTTACGTTCTTCGTATATATGTAAACTAAAAGTCTAAAACTCGTGTGACTTCAAAATACGAACGAACGTTGTGTTTTATATGGAACTCTTTTTTGAAACAAAAGTGTGAACTTTGCTTTAGTTGAAAGCATAAAAGAGTTCTAAAAGCCAAAACGATACTTGGATGTGATGTTTCACTTGTTTTTTTTTTCAAGCGGTATTCTGGATGTTTTTTGGACCGCCGTACGCGAGGTTCGATCGTGAACATTGGGATATAAAGTTTCCTCAAGAATTTGCAGTGTTTTCTCCACAATCTAGCGGCATAATGAGCCCTGTACGGGTGAAATGAGCAGGGCCGAAACTCCAAACATACCGCTATAAAAACTGAAATTTGAACGGGCATTTTGCGAAAACATCCGACGATAGTACTCGCACGGGACGAATTTTGACAAACATTTTTCAAATTAATACCAAGAAGTCATAACCAGTAATTACCTAAATATCTTTGCCATTTTTACATGTATAATCCACGCTTAGTTGACCATTAATCGACACAGTTATAAACAGTATATCAAACATAATTTATATTTTGTGATTTCAAAAAAGTCATGCCTTGTTGTTTTATGCAGAATGCGTGTACACGTCAGTTGGGGTATTTAATTGTTCGCGTAAAAATCTAGTAAAAATTGCCAAAATTAAGCCCAAATTTCTCCGTTTTCCTTCGGTAAAATTTTTTAAAACTTTGCACATTTTTTAATATCGGTACAACAAGTGAAATATCCTTTTTTCCGAAAATTAAATCGAAGGGAAAATTTTTAATATTGATTTTTGACGTTTTTTAAATTTTCTAAGAAACGTATCGATTTAATTTTTTTAAATTGAGGGGAAAAATTCATTATAGAAGTATTATCTTTTATGCAAAGTTTTAAAAAATTTCACCGAAGGAACTTTTTAAAATGACCTGAAAAAGACAAATTTTGAGCTTTATTCTAAGCATGCTGTTGCCATGACAACATATTTTTAACACAAAAGTAGCAATTTGCAATGTTCAGGAAAACATTGTCAATGTGTCCAATAAATTTCGTCTTCATATCATGTAAAGTAAAGAAACAGGAGTCTCCTGAATACTATAGTGTAGTAAATTAAAAAACCCTAGGGAGCCAGCTTAAATAAAGATATAATAATAGATTTAAGACTGCAGGCTAGTATCAGAAATCAACGAATTGAATAGATTTAATGAATTTGCGCTTCTTAACTCGCAAGGTAAGCTGTTCCAGAGTTTTGCTCCACTATACCGGATGTTATTTTCAAGTATTCTGTTTTTGGTTTTGGTAAGTAAAACTTGAAATCATGGTCTCTTAAATTGTAATTATGTTGAGGAGCAGATGAGTCTTCAAAGATATCGGTTAAAACAGGTGGTGCTTGCGCATGAGCAATTTTATACATAAACTTGCCCCTAAAGATTAATCTGCGTTCTTTTAACGTTTTCAATTTCAATTCAGACAAAGCGGCTTCAGACTGACCATGCTCATTTCTATATCCTAAGATGACCCTTGCTGCCCTATTTTGGAGTACTTGTAATCGATTTGTAAGCGTGCCCGTGGTACCAATTGGATCCCACATCCTACAATTGGATCCCACATTTCTTAGAATCTACGAGATTCTCGAATTGTTTGTGAAGTCTTACCTCCATTTCTCATATCACAGAATATTGAAAATGGTGTAGAAGCAGCTGCAACATGAAGAAATAAGGACACATATTACGTCACTTCATTCCTAATAATGTTTATAATTCATTTTTTTCTCGATGATAATAATTATTTTAATGAAACTCTATTCCATAATCGTTTCCCATGAACTTCTACGTCCGAGATAAAATTACTAATTGATAAACTATATATTATAAAAGATTTCCAAAATTCTTACTCAAATTTAAAGAAATCCAATAAATTCCATCGCCAACCTTTTCCTCAACACATTTTCTTGTTAAAATATCACGACAAGATTTTCCAGGAATCTTTTTTGTTCCATACTATAAAAGATGATAAACCAGTTTTTCTAGTTTCATGACACTGCAGACTACAACGAAAAATTCGTTGTCTTCGGGTTTCTAGATCGCCGCTCTTACGCAATTTACGTGAAATTGAATTATGAAATATATTCGCGATGATTTTTTTCACATCTCGAAGGATGGATTTGAAATACTTTTGAAACACTACGCGTCCTCCAACGTACACAAGCATTAAATTAAGTCGGCGCAAATATATTCGTGTATTTAAATTGGATACGACTCCGTCCCAATCTCCTTTGACTCGCTGGCTCAACGGGTCAATGAGTGTAGCTCAATGGGCAGAGTGGTGGTCTAGCGGAAACGCGAAGATGCAAATTCGAATCCCGCTAGAGACGACATATTTTCTGCAGTGTTAGAATAATATGAAGCAAATTTTCCATATCTCTGAGGATAAGTCTGAAACAATTTTTCTCCGTTTGCACCTTCCTTTTTTTACTTATAAAACTCGTGGCGCTAAGCTATAGGCATGCAGTCAGGGGCGTCGGAAGCAATTAAGGTGTTGTAGCGGGGCAGCCATTTAAGAGGACGACAATGTTTGTTAAAGAGTTGCTATAAAGGTACTGAATTACTAGTAGCTAGGCACATTTCGGGCATTGATTGGAAAGTTTTAGAATGGTGTATTTTCATTAGCATTCGACAAAATTTTCTCGGACAATTTATGATCACCAGCACGGATTCCTCCAAGGAAAACCTTGTCAGTGTGACTAATTTGTTAGAAGCATTAGATTACAACGGCGCGTGTATGGACAACGGAGGGCAGGTAGATATGGCCTTGACATGTCAAAAGCGTTGACATGTCAAAAGCGTTGACCGAATCAACCATAAGC